AGAAACGAAAAATTCAAAAATCGAAATATTGAAAATCAGAGACAATTTTGGCGATTCTCTAATTTTTGAATTCAAATTTTTGATTTCGCGTTTTATTTCCAATTTTTCTATCCATTAATTTTTTTCAGTTTTTAAGTTTCTCGAATTTTGCTTTTCTATTTTTCGTTTCTTCGATTTGCAATTCTTCGAATTTCCACTTTTTTGATTTTGCAATTTTTCTTTTTTTCAGTTTTACAATTGTTTTTGTTGTTCGATTTTAAATTTTTTCATTTTCCAATTTCTCAATTTTTCAACTTTCCTATTCAAAAAATCGAAAATTTAAAAATTGTAAAACTGAAAAATCAAAAACAAAAGCCTAAAATAAAAACTTTGAAAATTCTAAAAATTCGAAATCAAAAACTTGAAAAATTGCAGAAACAAAAAATTCAAAAATCGGAATATTGAAAATCAAAGACAATTTTGACAATTCTATAATTTTTTTAATTTACAATTTTTTATTTTTCCAATTTATCGTTTTCGCGTTTTATTTCCAATTTTTCTATTCATTAATTTTTCTCGATTTTTATTTTTCCATTTTTCGTTTCTTCAGTTCTTCGATTTGCTATTCTTCAATTTTCCACTTTTTTGATTTTGCAATTTTTCCTTTTTTCAGGTTTTCGATTGTTTTAGTTGTTCGATTTTTCATTTTTTCATTTTCCAATTTCTCAATTTTTCAACTCTCCTATTCAAAAAACCGAAAATTTGCAAAATTGTAAAACTGAAAAATCAAAAATGAAAAACAAAAGTCTAAAATAAAAACTTTGAAAATTCTAAAAATTCGAAATCAAAAACTTGAAAAATAGAAACGAAAAATTCAAAAATCGAAATATTGAAAATCAGAGACAATTTTGGCGATTCTCTAATTTTTGAATTCAAATTTTTGATTTCGCGTTTTATTTCCAATTTTTCTATCCATTAATTTTTTTCAGTTTTTAAGTTTCTCGAATTTTGCTTTTCTATTTTTCGTTTCTTCGATTTGCAATTCTTCGAATTTCCATTTTTTTGATTTTGCAATTTTTCCTTTTTTCAGTTTTACAATTGTTTTTGTTGTTCGATTTTAAATTTTTTCATTTTCCAATTTCTCAATTTTTCAACTTTCCTATTCAAAAAATCGAAAATTTAAAAATTGTAAAACTGAAAAATCAAAAACAAAAGCCTAAAATAAAAACTTTGAAAATTCTAAAAATTCGAAATCAAAAACTTGAAAAATTGCAGAAACAAAAAATTCAAAAATCGGAATATTGAAAATCAAAGACAATTTTGACAATTCTATAATTTTTTTAATTTACAATTTTTTATTTTTCCAATTTATCGTTTTCGCGTTTTATTTCCAATTTTTCTATTCATTAATTTTTCTCGATTTTTATTTTTCCATTTTTCGTTTCTTCAGTTCTTTGATTTGCTATTCTTCAATTTTCCACTTTTTTGATTTTGCAATTTTTCCTTTTTTCAGGTTTTCGATTGTTTTAGTTGTTCGATTTTTCATTTTTTCATTTTCCAATTTCTCAATTTTTCAACTCTCCTATTCAAAAAACCGAAAATTTGCAAAATTGTAAAACTGAAAAATCAAAAATGAAAAACAAAAGTCTAAAATAAAAACTTTGAAAATTCTAAAAATTCGAAATCAAAAACTTGATAAATTGCAGAAACGAAAAATTCAAAAATCGAAATATTGAAAATCAAAGACAATTTTGGCGATTCTCTAATTTTTGAATTCAAATTTTTGATTTCGCGTTTTATTTCCAATTTTTCTATCCATTAATTTTTTTCAGTTTTTAAGTTTCTCGAATTTTGCTTTTCTATTTTTCGTTTCTTCGATTTGCAATTCTTCGAATTTCCACTTTTTTGATTTTGCAATTTTTCCTTTTTTCAGTTTTACGATTGTTTTAGTCGTTCGATTTTTAATTTTTTCATTTTCCAATTCCTCAATTTTTCAACTTTCCTATTCAAAAAATCGAAAATTTAAAAATTGTAAAACTGAAAAATCAAAAACAAAAGCCTAAAATAAAAACTTTGATAATTCTAAAAATTCGAAATCAAAAACTTGATAAATTGCAGAAACGAAAAATTCAAAAATCGAAATATTGAAAATCAAAGACAATTTTGACAATTCTATCATTTTTTTAATTTACAATTTTTGATTTTTCCAATTTATCGTTTTCGCGTTTTATTTCCAATTCTTCTATTCATTAATTTTTCTCGATTTTTATTTCTCCATTTTTCGTTTCTTCAGTTCTTCGATTTGCTATTCTTCATTTTTGTACTTTTTTGATTTTGTAATTTTTCATTTTTTCAGTTTTACGAATGTTTTAGTTCTTCGATTTTTAATTTTTTCCTTTTCCCATTTCTCGATTTTTCAATTTTCCAAATCAGAAAATCAAAAATTTGCAAAATTATGAAACTAAAAAAAAAATGAAAAAACGAAAAGATATAAAATAAAAACTTTGAAAAATCTAAAAATTGAAAATCAAGAACTTGAAAAATTGAGAAAACGAAAAATTACAAAATTGAAAAATTATATATCCTGAAATTGAAGAAACAAAGAACTGAAAATTTTCAAAGTCGAGAAATTGAAAAATTTTTTAGAAAAATTATAAGGTTTGATTGGTGGGGATAATAAGGCAAAATTTGGTTAGAGATTTTACATAATATTCCTAATATACATACAAAATTTGACAGCAGTCGGTCCAGTAGTTTCGGAGATTATGTGTCTAATAAAATTCACACAGACGACAAACAGACCGACAGATGGGAATGAAACGTCAAGAAAACATGTAAGTTGCAAGTAGCCCGATGGACTCGATTAGTATACTTATAAAATCTTTATCAAGCTTATCTTCACCTATATTACACTTTAAAAAGATCAAAAATGTTAGTAAAAATTTAAGTAACGTGTCGCTCGTTTCGCGAGCTCCACTACATTTACGTATAGAGGGCCGTCTTCTTAAAAACCTTTTTTCATTTTTTTGCTCCTGATTCCTTATAATCCATTCGTCAACATTTATTTCCTCCCATCGAAAACGGGTTTGTATGTTAATACGCCTACTGCCGTATCGACATCGAGTGTACTTTGTCCGTGTGGGTAATATAGTTGATGAGCATATCGACCGTGCCACCCGCAGCTCTGTCATTCTCCACCAGACCTATCGTTTTTATAAAACCTATCAGACCTGTGTTTTGTCCACATGTTATTGAATCCATCCGAACCCGCAAAAACGAATTAAGGGTGTGGGGACAAAAAATCTGCACAAATTTCAAACTACAATAGCTGTATTATAAAACCAGGTATTAATAACGTGATCAACAACATTTATAACAACAACTTTAAAGAACACAATCTGCACCATATCTGCTTGCTTTACGAATTTTTGTTTTAACACGGCGCATTAAATTTGTAAAAGCCGATATTTTTGTTTGCCGTATTTCCAGCAGTATACGCTTCTTTAATTCTGCATGTGTCGACGCTTCCCATCCATTTTCGTACACATTCCTCTTTAGGTTTCTCCAAAAACGTTCAATTGGGCGTAGTTGAGGTACGTTGGGAACATTTTTGTCCTTAGGGATAAAAGGAATGTTTAACTCATTATATGCAGCAATAACGTTAGCTGCGTAATGAGCTGTTGCCATGTCTGGCCAAAATACAAAATTGCCATCCGAATGCTTTTCTCTTATAAAGCGGACAAGTCGAGACCTAACGCACTGTTTTTCATAAATATCTGCATTAACAGAATTTCCAGATGGGCAAATAAACGCAGTCGAATGTCCACGTGAAGAAATGGCCAACCAGACCAACAACTTGGACTGAAATTTTTTATGACGTTTGAATTTCACTTTATCATCTACTTCTTCTCCTTCCTTGCAATATAAATGTATATTGTTAGCAGTATCGCTACCATCAAAAGTGAAGTAGGATTCGTCATCGATGATTATTTCAGTTCCATTTGAGGGTGAAAAAGCGGATTCAAAAAGATGCCTTAATTTTCGTTTTTGTTCCAACTGTTGTTTTTCTGAATATTTGGGGGCGGATTTTCGCGTTGCAAGTTTGACATTATTCTCCTTTAATATGTTGCTAACATATTTTTTGTCAATGTTAAATTTACGTCCAAGCTTTCTTAGTGAAACACCAAGTTTACCGTGACTTTGATTGACTAAGGCTTCTCTCTTCTTCTGGGGCATTTTTCTTGCTGGTCTTCCGCTTCCTACTTGTCTTTCTACCGAATTCCCATTCTCTACTCTTCTGCAAATGCTATAAGTTGTCCTTTTTGACATCCCCATTTGGAAGAAGTGATTAACGGTGAATGACTTTTTTAAATGCATATGCCTTCTATAAAATTCGGCAATCACAGATCGGCGATCATTTTCATTTAAGTGTTCCATTATTACAAAAAATATTGAAACTTTCAAGAGGAACTAGGCATAACAATTTTTAACAACTGTCAAAAAATGTCATAACGTCAACCGTCATTTTTCTCAAAGCTAACTCGATTTTCGGTAAATTAAAATTTGTGCAGATTTTTTGTCCCCACACCCTTAATTGCTTTTTGCTTTACTTTTCGAATCGTTTGTTTTGTTAACGTTATTGGAATACTCGCAAATTATCGACAAATATTCACTTCTGCGTGCTGTTTATGGCCGACAATACTGCACATAAAACCGGCATTGCGTTTCATCAAGTGTCCCGGTGTCATTGTTTGCCGTCACATGACCCAGAAATTACCCCACGCAAAATAATTCCAATAGCGTCCGTTATTTTTAACGCTACGTTCACACGTAATCAAGTGTGCAAGGGTCGTGATTCCACCTGTCCCCTACCACCTTGACTTTGTTTTATCATAATTCGCAACGACCGCCTAAATTACGCCACGTTTTTAAGAAATTTCATATAGTTATACGTCACGCAGTATGCTGGTGGAACGACCCCACCTCTTATTTTCCACCTTGCTGTAGCCGCTTTTTTTCAGATATGCCGCAATTCGGGCTGAGCAGTACGAACTCGCACTGGGGCTACGGAGCGGCAGGGGCGTACTCACCCTATTTCACCCCCAGCACGCTGGGATCCTGTGCGGCGCCCACGGCGTCGCAGTTCAACACTCCGGCCCTGGGCTTCTCGGGGGCCACGCCGGACCAGTCGTCGACGCAAGACGCGTTCGGTTCAACGTCCAATGTCAGCTCATGTGAGTATGTTGAAATGTTTTTTTTTTTTTGTAGCGAAAAATAGTAAATAACGTGTAAACACGTTTCGGCTATTAAATCCGGATGGGGTCATAAAAGTTTGAATGTTTGCCAATGCACGGTTTTAATTGTGCGAATTATGACGTTTGGTGTTTTCGATATTTCTGGAAGGGGGCCAGGGTGATGCGTTTATGGGTTTGGGCGGATCGGGTTTTCCAATGCACAGCACTCTGTTGGTTTTTTATGGTTTTTGCAGGTTTGTTCGAGGTATTGTTTCCAGAGAGAAAATGAAAAGATGGGTCAATTTTGAGATTGGATTCGTATTTAGGAGGTCCAAATTAGGAAATATGGGGAATTTTAGGGATCTGTGTTTGAATTTTTACAAAATTACTAAGTTATTAAAAAATCGAGAAAAATGAAAAATGCGAAAGTCGAAAAACTGAAAAATTTAGAATTGAAAACTCGAAAAAATCGAGACATTGAAAAATCGAAAACGCAAATTGGTAAAGCCATAGACGAAAAACTTCTAAATTTTTCACTTTTTTGATTGTGTAATTTTTCAGATTTTTCGATTTATTTTTTGAGTTTCTTTCTTATGATTCCTTTTTTCGATTTTTTTTTTGCAAATTTTTACGTTGCAATTTTTCGAGATTTTCATTTTTGAATTTTCAATCTTTCGAATTTTCAATATTATAATTTTGAATTTTCAACTTTTAAATTTTTGATTTTTTTGATTTTTCAGTTTCTCCATTTTCAATTGCTCAGTTTGCAATTTTCTAACAATTTTCTGCTTTTTCAAATTTCGAATTTTTAAAATTTTCGGGTTTTCCATTTTTGGATTTTTTATTTTTCATTTTTTCAGTTCTTCAGTTCTTCATTTTTATGATTTTCTCAATTTTTAAATTTTTAATTTTTAGATATTTGTTTTTTTTGTTTCAGTTTTTGATGTTTTAATTATCGTTTCTTCAATTTTTTCATTTTCTCGATTTTTAGTAGTCTTTCGGTTTTCAATTTTTCAGTTTCAGTTGCTCGATTTTACAATGTTCAGATTTTCACTTTCTCAGTTTTAATTTAATTTTTTTTTCCACTTTTCAGTTTTTCGTTCCTTCAGTTTTTCAATTCTTGGTTTCCTCAATTTCCCACCACTGATTTTTTTTTATTTTCCTATTTTTAAAAATCTTAATTTTTCCTTCTTTGAGTTTTTTAAAAATTTGAAGAATTACAAAATTATCGAGAAAATGGAAAAATTAGAAAGTCGAAAAATTGAAAAATTTAGAATTGAAAGCGACAGACAATTTTTTGTTTTTCAATTTTTTAAGTTTTTAAATTTCCAATTTCACAATATTAATTCTTGTTTTATTTATTTTTTCAATTTTTCAATTTAAAATTTCTCCAATTTTTGTTCGTTCAACTTCTAAATTTCTGTTTTTTTATTTTTTATTTTTAATTTTTCGATTTAATTTTCACGTTTCCTTCAATTTAAAATGTTTTGATTTTTTCATTATTTGGATGATTTCTTTTTTCGATTTTTATTTTGCAAGTTTTCAAGTTTTCTCTTTTAAATTTTTGAATTTTTCGGTTTTTCAGTGTTTCCATTCTTATTTGCTCAAGTTGCAATTTTCTGCTTTCCCAAATTTCGAATTTTCAATTTCAAATTTTTGGGTTTTCAAGTTTTTGATTCCAGGTTCTCGTATTTTGATATTGCAATTTTTCATTACATCGTTCGATTTTTCTAGATTTTCGATTTTCATTATCAGTGTGTAATTTGAAACTTCTCTATTTTTAGACATTTTAATTTTTCGTTTTTTCGGTTTTTCAATTCCTCGTTTTTATGATTTTTCTAGATTTCCAATTAATTCATTTACAATTCGCAATTTTTAAATTTTTCAATTTTAACTATCAAATTTTTTTTTGTTTCAATTTTTTATATTTTAATTTTCGTTTCTTCAATTCAATCATTGTCTCGATTTTAAGTTTTTCTTTTTTCAATTTTTCGATTTTCACTTTCTCAGATTTACTTTTTTATTTCTTTTTTGCACTTTTCAGTTCTTCGTTTCTTCAGTTTTTCAATTTTTCATTTCATCAATTTTCCAACATGGCAATTTTTCGATTTTCCTATTTTTTGATTGACAATTGTTCGAGTTTTCAGTTTAAAATTTTTCAAATTTTCGTTTCTTTCAACTTTAAATTTTTCAGTATTTCGTTTTCTCAGTTTTTGTTTTTTTTATTTTTTGGATGTTTCGATTTATTTTTCGTGTTTTCAATTTAAAATTTTTCAATTTTTTTTAAGTTTACAGTTTTTCATTTTTTTGATTTGCAATTTTCCGACTTTTCAATTTAAAACTTTTCGAGTTCTCGATTTTTTATTTGCCGATTTTAACGATTTTTGCTTCCCGGTTTTTCGTTTACTCCAGATTTTGCTTGGCAATTTTTCAAGTTTTCAATTCTAAATTTTTCAATGGTTCGATTTTTCAACTTTTTAATTTTTAAATTTAAATTTTCTATTTTTTCTGTTTTGTGATATTTAATTTTTCACTTATTGCGTCATTCCAGTTTTGGTTTTTCAATTTTTAGTTTTTATATTTTCAGTTGGTCAATTTGGAATTTTCTGGGTTTTCAAATTCGAATTTTTTAAATTTATCAGCGTTCAGTTTAAATTTTTGGGTTTTCAAATTTTCCATTTGAGTTTCATTTCATATTCGGATTTTTCAGTTCAATGTTCGATTTTTCTAGTTTTTAGTTTTTTGTTGTAAGTTTTTAATTTAAACTTTTCAATTTTTAGATATTTTAATTTTTGTTTATTCAATGTTTCAATTCCTCGTTTTTATAATTGTCCTTTTTTCAATTTTTCCGTTTTTCATTATAATTCAATTTCTATTCGCTATTTTTTTAATTTTTCAATTTTTTCTTATTTGGTTTGTTTTTTGTTTTAATTTTTGATATTTTAATTCTCGTTTCTTCAATTTTTTCATTTTCCCGATTTTAAGTTTCGCGGTTTTCAATTTTTAGTTTCACTTTTCCGATTTTACAATTTTCAGGTTTTCATTTTCTCACTTTTAATTTTTTTCCTCTTTTCAATTTTTTAACTTATCGATTCGCCAATTTTCCAAAACTGCAATTTTTCGATTTTCGTATATCTTGATTTGCAGTTGTTCGAGTCTTCAGTTTACAATTTTTCAGATATTCGTTTTTTCAATTTCTAAATTTTTCAGTTTTTTGATTTTTTGTTTTCTGATTTTTCGATGTAATTTTCGCGTTCCCTTCAGTTTAAAATGTTTTGATTTTTCTTTATTTGGAAATTTTGATTTTTCAGTTTCATTTTTTCGATTTTTTGGATTTTGAATTTTTCCAATTTTCAATTTTAAATTTTTGGTTTTTCAATTTTTAAATTTTTTAATATTTCTCCATTTTCAGTGACACAGTTTGCAATTTTCTGCTTTTTCAAATAACAAATTTTTAAAATTTTCGAGTTTTCAATTTTAAATTGTTGGTTTTTCAAGTTTTCGATTTCGGTTTCTCGAATTTTCGTATTCGGATTTTTCATTCCATTGTTCGATTTTTCTTGTTTTTCGAATTTTATAATGCAATTTTTTTGCAATTTGCAATTTAAAATTTCTCAATTTTTGGATTTTTTTTCAATTTTTCAATTCCTCGTTTTTATGATTATTTGATTTTTTTGTTTCAGTATTAGATATTTTGATTCTCATTTATTTATTGTTTTTATTTTCTCACTTTTCAGTTTTTCATTTCTTCACTTTTTCAACTTGTGGTTTCATCAATTTTCCAACATTGCAATTTTTCGATTTTTGTATTTTTTGATTTGCGTTTTCAGTTTAAAATGTGTCATATTTTCGTTTTTTCAGTGTCTGTTTTTTTATTTTCCGATTTTTCGATTTATTTTCCGTGTTTTCAGATTATTTGCAGATTTTCAATTTTTTATTTGCAATTATCCGACATCTCAATTTTAAATTTTTCGAATTTTCAATTTTTTATTTCTCGATTTTAACAATTTTTTGTTTTTCTATTATTCGTTTACTCCAGTTTTTCCTTTGCTTTTTTTTTGTTTTTCAATTTTTCATTTCCTCGTTTTTATGATTTTCATTTTTCCGCATAATCTTCCATTTTCTATTCTAAATTTTTTAATTTTTCAGTGTTTAGCCATTTGATTTTTTTTATTTCAATTTTTGATATTTTAATTCTCATTTCTTCAATTTTTTCATTCTTCCGATTTTTAGTTTTTCGGTTTTCAATTTTTCAGTTTAAATTTTTGGATTTTACAATTTTCAGATTTTCATTTTCCTAGTTTTCTTTTTTTTTTATTTGTCGCCATTTTTCAATTTTTCATTTCTTCAGTTTTCCAATTTTCTGGTTTCATCAATTTTCCAACGTTGCAATTTTTTGATTTGCAGTTTAAAATTTTTCAAATTTTTGTTTTTTCAACTTCTACATTTTTCAGTTTTTAGTTTTAAACTTTTAAAGTTTCTCGATCCTTGTGTTCATTTTCTTGATTTTTAATTTTTCATTTTCTCGATTTTTAATTTTTCAACAAAAAAATATTTCCAAAAGTGAAATTTTTCCATGATTATTATTTTTATTATGAAACTATTTAACAATTTCTAAGTTGTTCCAAGCCATATTTTTTTTACTGAAAAAAATCCCCAACTAATAGTCACTTTGTCTGTTTCAGTGCTCCCCGACGCCTCCGCCAGCGAGCTCGACCATCACCTCGGCCTCGTCTCCTCCCAGCCGCACGCTAACCACTCCCAGTCCGCCGGCTCCTCCCTCCTCGTGCCGCGCTACTCCTCCAACCACGCCGACTTCCCCCTCTCCGGGCCGCGCTCGCTCTCCGACAACTCGAGCGCCGCCGAGAGCCCCGTCCAGGACGAGCTGCTCTCCCAGAGCGCGCTCGGCGCCAACCACAACACCGCCAACTTCCCCCTCCACCAGAACGTGACGTCGGCGTCGTACTCGGCGGGCAACTGCAACAACTCCCTCTACCCCGTCCTGCCCGCCAGCCTGCTCTACTCGCAGCTCTACTCGGCGGCCAACCAGAGCCACAACTTCCACTCGCTGCACTCGCACTCGGCTCAGAGCCACAACGACCTCCAGAGCGTGATGGATCAGCTGAGCACGACGAACCAGCGCCAGATGAACGGCAGCACGGATTTGCTCCTGAGCAACAACGGCACGTGCGCGGCGGCGGCGGCGCGCCAGGAGGACGGGCGCCTGACGACGAACGGGGGGCAGAGGGGGCCGGGACAGAGCGGCGACGCGGTGGTGTGGCGGCCGTACTAGTGATGTGATTGGTGCAATAGTGACGGGGCGGGGCGAGGCGCGGGTGGGAGGAGTTTACGTCTACGTGCATATATTCTGAGGGAAAAATTGATAGGGTTGCGTTTAAATAGAAAAATATACACACAGTTTTGGTTTTTTTGAATCTTAAGTGAGAATTGACACTTTCATACATACTAGTTTAACGATTTAAACGCAATCCGTTCTCTAGTAACGAACTCACAAAAGCTAGTCATATTTCAGTCTTGCCAGTGTACAAATTACCTATAAAATCAAATTTATGGCCGGGAATTTAAGAGTTGCCCTTTACCTGAATTGGCCGTCGGCCGCCCCTGTGCAATTAACGATGTGCAATCGATAAGTCTAGGCTAAGACCCTGTTGTATATCTCCCAGTGTATAAGTTAGGACATGTCATGTACAGAGAAAGCCACATGTTTGCTCGACTGACGTCGACTAATCGTGGCCGTTATAGCTTTAAGCCTGTACAATATGCTTAGTCCCTGTGTAAAAAGCGAGTTAATAAAGCCAGCATTATAATACCTGTTACGTAACAATTTCTGTTGGGAAATGTAAAATAAACAACGATAAATAAATATACAAAAGGATCTGGTGTGCTCATTTCGCATCCCTCGAATCCAAACAAAGGAAAATTTACACCAGTGCTTCTAAAGATATTAAAACTATTTGTACGTTTTTCTTAAAAAAAAAGGTTATAATTTTTCAGCGTAAAACATAGTGCGTGCTTCTGTTCTCTCAGCTACAGTGTGAAGTTTATAATAAGGAATCTAAGGTAAGTCCATCTTAAACTTAAATAAATATCTAGGAGTTTCGTTAACTGTGTTGATGTCTTTTCTGTCAGGGAAGGACCAGCATTTGCATAGAACACTCTATCTCTCTTTTTACAAAATTAATTTGCTATTTCTACCACAGAAAATAATGGAAAGCCACATTCAGTGGTTATACATTTCGATTTCCAGAAGTTATTTCGATAATTCTTACTAGTGACTAGTCCTGACATTGTTCCGTCTTATTTTAGCAAGTACTAGCCCCACCCACCCACCCTCTCTCTTGTTGGAAGATATGTCATTGGCCAAAATCAGTCTTATCTTAGCAAATACTAACCCCGCCCACCCACCCACGCTTTTCTTCTTCTAATGACTATTTTATTACTGTTCAATATAAGTTACACCTTTCAATCAGAGCGGACAAAATTCAGTGAAATGGAGGCGGGGAGGGTTGGCGGGGTTAATTAAATATTTTCTGCACAGTGGGAGGAGGGTGGGTGGGCGGGGCTAATTATATATTTTTGCGTAGACTTAGAGTGGGAACTAATAGAATTAGTATGTAAAAAAATAAAAAAAAAAACAGTCTTTTATAGTAAAATTCAGTCTTCATCCAATCAAAAAAACCAATGAAATCCAAAAGCGGAGGTGGATGGGGTTAGTTTTACCTTTTCGTCTAGATTCAAATGTTTATCAATATAAAATCCCTTTTTTGTCCAATAAAATGAGTGACCAGAATTATAACCGGGTGGGTGGGCGGGGCCAAAATTTAATTCAGTTTTCTTCTAATCAAAAAACCAATGATATTCACAAGCGGACGTGGGTGGGGCTAGTTTTACCTTTTCGTTTAGATTACTAGATTCCACTGTTATTTAATATGAAATGTAGTTTTCGTCCAATAAAATGAGTGACCAAAAAGAAAACCGGGTGGGTGGGCGGGGTCACCTTGAATTTTGTAAGTCTAGTTCGGCCATTTGACATAATAAAATTCAGTCTTCATCCAATCAAAAAAACCAATGAAATCCAAAAGCTGAGGTGGATGGAGTTAGTTTTATCTTTTTGTGTAGATTCAAATGTTTATCAATATAAAACCCCTTTTTTGACCAATAAAATGAGTGACCACAAGGAAAATCGGGTGGGTGGGCGGGGCCACTTTGAATTTCTAATCAAAAAATTGGTCTAAAGAGTTTAGACAGTACTTCCCTCGCTGTCGGAAACTTGACGACTGCATGCCCATTGTGTTTTTTTCTCATTACATTTTTGTAGTGGGAATTTAAAAAAAAATTGTGATGACGTCATCAACATTTTTGCAAGGACACGTATATCAGTTGGGATAGATGTAGTGTAATACTAAGAATAAAATTATTGTATTCCCAAATTTTCGGGAAAATGAATTGGGTCGTTTTGAATATTGATTTGTTATAATCAATAAAATAACGAAACAATTTACTCACGTATACGACGTCGGTGTGTAATATGTAGAGAGCGAATTTCTGTCCGGTTAGGCAAGGCCAAACTCGGTACGGCTCGTACGGGATGCGAATTCATTGCAGTTACGGACTGCACTTCGTTTATTTGAGATTAGAATAACGCTGTTTCGTTGCACTCTGCTGTTAATTCCCGCTCTCATTTACTTAGCCGTTTGATTAATAAATCGTTAATTATATTTATGGAATTAGTACTGATTAAATTCAGTGATTATCTATCACCCGCTACTGAGTCCCGGCGATCCAGCGCGTCCCCACCTATAATCGTGACGTAGCCCGACAGAAATCCGCTGTCTAGTAATATCAGTGTAATATGAGAGGCAACTGAAAATCGTTTATGTATAAACATTCTTAATTTAAGATGACAAGCGTAACAGCATACGTGAGAGTCAAACAGAGAAACTGTAAACAACACGACCATCGGTTTTATTGCTTCGACTTCCGCTTATTATACAAAACATTAGGTTTTATTTTAATTCTTGACGGTGAAATTCACAATTGGTTGATTATAAACATGTCTATTTCGCATTCGCGGAACCAAGTGACCGCATAAAACAAATGCAGGTCTGTAATGTTAAAGTCGATGTAAATAAGCGTGCTACCCTTATGTTTCAACCGAGTTTTTCCTTTAACAAATTTTGTGTCTACCAAATTGGGTTGGTTGGGGTGTAATACTAATAATAAGTGTTGCCTTTAATTTAATCAATAAAATAAATTGACTTCATTAATTTTTTTGAACCACCTCTTAAGAAAATCTAAAAAATATGAATGGAATGATAAATCACAAGTACAAACTCATCATATTTTTTGCATTTTCGATAGGATTTATTCAGCAAAATTTAAGGGTGACGTCATCAATTTTTTTAGGAGGGATGAACAAATACATTTTGAACAAAAGTTTACCATGCTTATAATAACTTTAAAATATTCCCAAGATTTCAAAGCATTCGGTTTTGTAATTCCTGATTAAATCGATAAAATAAATTCACGCCTTCATTAATTTTTTTGAGTCACCCTGCATATGCAAATCCAAAAATATGAATGGAATGATAAATCACAAGTACAGACTCATCATATTTTGTACATTTTAGATACGATTTATTCGGCAAACTTTTGAGCTGACGTCATCAGTTTTTTGTAGAAGATAACCAAATATATTTTGACTAAAAATTTATTATGCTCTTTATAACCTTAAAACATCTGCAAGATTTCAAAGCATTCGGTTTTGTAGTTCCTGATTAAATCAATAAAATAAATTTACGCATTCATTAATTTTTTTGAGTCACCCTGTATATGCAAATCGAAAAAATTTGAATGGAATGATAAATCACAAGAAGAGACTCACCATATTTTGTACATTTTAGATAGGATTTTTTCAGCAAAATTTTGCGGTGACATCATAAATTTTTTAGGGGGGACGACCAAATACGTTTTGATCAAAAATTTACCATGCTTATGATAATTTTAAAATATCTTCAAGATTTCGAAGCATTCGGTTTTGTAGTTCCTGAGTAAATCAGTAAAATAAATTTACGCTTTCATTTATTTTCTTGAATCACCCTGTATATGCAAATCCAAAAAATATGAATGGAGTGATAGATCACAAGTACAGACTGATCATATTTTGTACATTTTAGATATGATTTATTCGGCAAATTTTCGAGCTGACGTCATCAAGTTTTTGGAGGGGATAAGCAAATATATTTTGACTAAACATTTATTATGCTCTTTATAACCTTAAAACATCTGCAAGATGTCAGAGCATTCCGTTTTGTAGTTCCTGATTAAATCAATAAAATATATTTACGCATTCATTAATTTTTTTGAGTCACTCTGTATATGCAAATCCAAAAAATATGAATGTAGTGATAAATGACAAGTGCAGGCTCATCATATTTTGTACATTTTAGATATGATTTATTCGGCAAACTTTCGAGCTGACGTCATCAAGTTTTTGGAGGGGATAAGCAAATATATTTTGACTAAACATTTATTATGCTCTTTATGACCTTAAAACATCTGCAAGATTTCAGAGCATTCGGTTTTGTAGTTCCTGATTAAATCAATAAAATATATTTACGCATTCATTAATTTTTTTGAGTCACCCTGTATATGCAAATCCAAAAAATATGAATGAAGTGATAGATCACAAGTACAGGCTCATCATATTTTGTACATTTTAGATATGATTTATTCCACAAACTTTTGAGCTGACGTCATCAAGTTTTTGGAGGGGATAAGCAAATATTTTTTGACTAAAGATTTATGATGCTCTTTATGGCCTTAAAACATCTGCAACATTTCAAAGCATTCTGGCTAGCAGATTAAAAATTAAATTTCAAAATGTTGTTTTATAATTTTGATTTTTTTTCCAAAAATCTGGACGTTTCGGGTGAAAAGTCGATTCAGAGTTGTAAACTACATGTGTAGGACTATGTTATTTTATACAATTGAAAACCCATTTACTATGTACAATTTTGAAGTGACGTCATCGCATTAGTGATGGGGATGATTAGACAAATTTTGGTTAGCGTTTTACCATCTACATGATATTCTTAATATAAGTACAAAATTTCACAACAATCGGTCGAGTACTTTCGGAGATTATCTGTCTAATAAAATCCGGGACAACAGACGGACAGACGGACGGACAGACGGACAGACGGACAGACAGACGGAAATGGGAGACCTATTTCTTCGTCTTCTAGGGGTCATGAAAGATCGAGAAAACGTAAAAGTAGAGAGTCGGCCGACGGACTCGATTACAATACTTCCTTTGCTTACGCTCGGGAAGTAAAAACCAATGAAATTCAAAAGCGGACGTAATGGGTGGGGTTAGTTTTAGCGTTTTGTCTAGATTCCAGTGTTTATCAGTGTAATCCCCTTTTTACTTTATTAGCGTCGTTTGCCAAAATCAGTCTTGTCTTGGCAAGTACTAGCCCCGCCCACCCGCCCTCTTCTTCCTCTAACGACTAATTAATTTTATTACTGTTCTATATAAATTGCACCAAACAATAGCCCCACCCACCCACCCTCGCTTCATTCCAGAGATTACTCTTAATATTGTTCAGTCGTTTACCAAAAACAGTTTTATCTTAACTTATTTACAGGGCATGTAATTTGAGACAATCAGTTGTACCTTAAAATACTTGCCCCGCCCACCCACCCTTTATTTTCTTAGAAAGTATGTAATTTACGAAAGGCAGTCTTTTCGTGGCAAATATTAGCCCCGCCCACCCACCCTCTTTTTCCTCTAATGACTAATTTTATTACTGTTCAATATAAAATGCACTTTTCAATCAGAGCAGTTAAAATTAAATAGTGCATT